ATTCAGCGCGCGTTGCAAACTTTTCAGTATCAGCCTGACTGTAAGTAACAAGATATGTACTTCTAACAGCATTCCTGTTCAATGATTCTGTTTCAGGAGTATGTTGGGGTTGCTCTATGTCGGAATTTTCGCTCTCATATTCTAGTAATCGTTCCATAGTCGTTCAAAAGGTCGAGATTGCGACATAATATAATTAGCATATGCAATGGGCCTATTTTTAGGTTTGACACAAAGTAGCGCGATACTGTTTATTTGATCGTAACTTCTTACCCGTGGTTTTTATAAGCTAAAAAGGTACATGTTAAAGTTTGTGCACATGAGATCTAATATTTTATAAGCACTTTTACTATGCTAACATTCATGTTTCGCGTAAAAATCAAATACTGTCAAAATACAATCCCGGACAAAACTGTTGAGACATTTCTTGAAATAGATTGAATTTCGATGACCTATCGGAGTTTTTCTTAAAAAAATCTCCCCCTTTCCCCCTCAAATCAATGTTGAAGGGACTGAACATTCATGCACACCCTTCTAGCATCACGTCTAACACACAACATTGAACTGTGGGGGRAGGGGAGGATCAGAAATAGTGACTTTTTAGAAAGATGACAATTGGGAGTATTTAGGCGCGAAAAATGCCACTGCCTCAACAGGTTTTGTCCGGGATTGTAGATACTCTGATGCGCTGTCGGTCGATTTGGTACCATGAAGACTTCATACCAGAAGTTACCTCTAGACCCATAGTATCCAGCAAGGCACCATATGTTCTCTCAAATCCTTGGTTGTACTGCATAACCCCAAGACTGATAGCACAGCTAATTTCATTTGGAGAAGTGTATTGCTGTTTGGGAGCCATACTCCATATGACGTGGTGAAGGCTTTCATTTGTGTTTTGAGTAAGGCACTTCTCACATGCAGCCAACAGACTCTCATCACCCAAGCGATCAAAGACCGGTTGCATGACTTTAACTATGGCTGGAGCAAATGGATTTTTGGTCGGTCTGTGAGTATTTTCCTTGTTTGCAATATCCCTCTGAAAGGAGCACCATGACTTTTTTTGGAGTTGGACAATCATCATGTTGTGGTTTCTCTAATGTGCTGCTGTAGTGCTTTAGTATTGCTTTTGTGGATTTGGCCATTGCTTTGGCATTGCCTTTATTGTCTCTTATAATTACGCCCATAAAAATTTAGTATAGCATTAATTCTTGCTTTAGTGAGCCTTCCTTTCCCTGATAGACCAATACCATCACATAGCTTTTTCCCTGTAATCAGATAGAAATGAAAAATGTGAGTTGAACTAAAAGGCGAAGGCTGTCTGGTTCTCTTGACCAATAATGTCAAAGTGTTTTGATACACTGATCAAATATTTGTGAACATTTGCTCACAGTTCTCAAATTCTTGGCTAGTACATATTGTCAAATACAGCAATATGCAGAAATTTTGATCATTTTGACTCATATTCCAAGTATATACAGCCTTTTGCAAAAATTATGCGAATTGTCTAAATATCATAATATCCATATCCATATATTGTCCGGAACACGCGGGTTTGCTAGAATAATTCATTGTTGACATCGAGAAAATGTTCAGAACTACAGATAAGTCCATCGCCAAAAAATAACTAAACTACAAAGACAAGGGACTAAGGGCATCGCGTGGGATTACCCATCATGCACTCGATATTATGATATTTAGATATTTCGACAATTCTCATAATTTTTGCAAAAGGCTGTAATTATAAATACATCAGAAATTATGGGATATCACTGCCAATATATATTTTTTCATGAAGTAGTAGCAACTTATAATATCTCATAATATATCATAATTTCTGATATATTTTATATGAATCAAAATAATTATAATTTCTGCATATTGCTGTATAAATGTTTCTTCATTTTGTGCAAAGGTGTGTCAAGACAATAAAATCCTTGTTTATAAACTTACAAGCTGCATAGAACTACTGAATAATAGTGATTAAAAGTAAATTGTTGCACACACCTTTGTACTCTGTAATCAACTTTCGCAGATTGGAGCCCATCCGCTTTGTGATGTGGGATATACACTCCTCTTTGGGTATAAATACTGTAGGCCCATATGGCTTTTCCTTGTCTATAGCCGAGTAGCCAGAGCTGTCCCCTTCACCAATATACAGAATATAGCGCAGACCATGTTTGTCTACAGACCTCTTGTACAGAGTTAAGACACCTGCAGCTTCCATAGTCTACACACAACAAAACAATAAATTTTAAGTTTCATGCATTACCAAATTGCAAGTTCTCAAAAAAAAAGAAGCTAGAAGTACTTTCAATGTTAGATTTCGTGACTCAAAAAGTTCATATTGCAATGACACCACTTTACTGTTATTCAAAAATGCTGAGATATGTAGAATTAAAAATTGAAGTCAAAGTAATGTACATAAGATAAGAAGTGTAAACATAAATTATTCTCACCGAGGCACTTCCTTCATGGTTGAGCTTGCAATTTTCATCATGTGACAATAATTGTTCCAAATAGGCTTTTCTGTCAAGAGAACCTTGTTTATGTCTCTCCTCAATGTTTTTGCATACAGAACAACTATTGCTTAGGTGAACCACATCCACAACTTTGCCAGTATTTACATCAATGGCAGCAACGATGCCATCTGTAGCACTCCAACCCCTGCTACTCCACGAGCAGTCCAATGAAACACCAATATCAATTATTTCATTTCGCAGTTTATCATCGTCCATACTTCCAAATAAGTTCCTTTTCAATTCTCGTTGCCTCTGTTTTGACTCCCAAGCTGAGTTGCTTAGTTGGACCTCGAGCTCTTTCTTTGCTGCGTTATCCAACGCAACAGTATGTGTTGACCATGGGTTTTGGCCAATTGGTTTCTCTATATTCGTAATGCTGAACAGCTTATGTGCCGCGGCAAAACCTCTTCCAATCGCTCGCATCCCCACTACAGAAGCACGGTTGACATCATAGATTTGAGCCGTTTTTCTAGACGTGTGAAACTGTGTAGATACGATGTGTCGAATGCAGCTTACATTTAGGCATCGTAATGCCCATGCAGTGCCCAGGCCAAACCTGAAGTTCTCATTTTCTAAGAGCTCCAACTTCCCACCGCATTCCTTGCAAACCCCTGCTGCATTAAGCCCTTCCTCCACTGCTAGCGGATCAACAACGGTAAATTGTTGTTGCTTGGTCAACTTTGGCTCATGGCAGCCATCTTGAATCAACACATGAGGCACTTCTCTTTTCTTGTTGGTTTCCTCGCGGTTTTCTATCTGCAATTTCTGAGAGCTGGCACTTGGATGTTGGCTTGAWTCCTCTTTAAACAATTCGCGCTGATTATAATATGAGCCTTTATCGCTCTGARCCAGAATCTTTCTCTTCTCTTGGCAMAAGTCAACTGATTTCTTTCGTCGCTTTGCTTTACCGCCACAGAAAGGGCTTTTTCGTTTGTCTTTCCGACGAYGCATTGAGATAAATTAAGAATCAAATACCAAAGAATGTATAAAATCGAACAAAAATAGACTTTAAACAAGGAAATCAAATATGTAGTGGAATTGCTATGGCTATGATGTTTATATCGCTCGATGTGAAGTTGCTGTGTGTTATGTGACAAAATATCCCGTCGTGCTTTGATAACGTGAATATTCAGTCATGACAACTTCCGTTGACAGCCGCTATCAGCAGTAAAACACCTTTCGGAGAGACCTCAAAACGTTTTTTTGTTGATAACTAGCGTAGMAAACAATAAATCGGAATAATTTTTTTTCAAAGTTGTAGATACACTTCTTTTAATTCGCTCACGCTAATTTAAAAATTTTGAAAGATTTGACGAAAATAGTGTCAGGGGTAACCTTAAGGCGCCAAAGCTCTTTGATTCTACATATAAAAAGAGAAGTTACGAAATGCACTACAAAGATGTACTTATCATTCAGCACAAAAGCACTAGAAGGTTTATAGCAAAAACATCAAAACAATAATAGCAAATAACCTTAATTCCGCATTTAGCGAACTGCTTTTAACCGTTGTCACAATACGTTTGCACAGATTATGTGTACCTACGATAAAAAACATCCACATTTCAATAATTTTGTAATGGTCTGAACGTCATTATACGAACTACCACAACAGACTGTCAATGGCGAAACTTACAATCAGAAGAGGAAAAGCCATGCCGAAAATGCAAAAAAACCCTTTATGCATCGAAATGATTTCAACAGCAATCCCCACAGCCATGTCCGCAAAGCGCAGCAAAAGCCATCTCAATGAAACCTAATCGAAACTGCGATCCCTGATATTCTAATATCGAAATGATTTCAACGGCAATCCCCGCAGGCCTCACAGACACGCCATAAAAATCCCAGCAAAAGTCATTACTGACAATCGCATCAAAAATCCACAGCCATAATTATAAATATGTAATATATAAATATGTAGAGTAAAAACTAACGCTAGTAAGTTTGTATTTGTGATCATTTGGACTCGACGTTTCGACGCTATCTGGCGTCATTCTCAAGAGGAAATACATTAACATGTAATAATATAATGTGTAATATGTAATAATGATTTCATCAGTGTCGATATTGTTGGATTCCTGGTTTGATTCTTTTTCTTTCATCTTGGATGGATTGAATTGACGAGTCAAKCAAGTCGCGTGGATATCTTAACGCTCYGAAGACKTCTTTAATACGATTGCATTCATCATGAAAGAACTCCCATGTTGACGATAAACAATAAGCGCGGTGAAGCATRGTATTGTGCAAAGAACGTTTGTACTTGTTATCAACATGACTGTGATAATGTAGGAGTAATCCTGTATTGGTCGCTTTTCTGTATACTCTTGTACTTAGATGATGGTCGTACTTGATTACCTCGACACCAAGGAATGGCGGGCTGCCGCTATCCAGCTCCATGGTGAAATCTAATGAGGGATGGATTCCCTTTAAGACATCAAGAAAGGCCTCAGCTGATRGAATATTGTCCATAATAGTTAGAGTGTCGTCAACATAGCTTTTGTAGAAAGATGGAAGCTGATTGTTTCGTTGAAGTTTCTCCTCGATTGAGCACAGAAAGGTATTGGCGAGAAGTGGACCTAGCGGAGATCCCATTGCAACACCGTCTACTTGTTGGTAAAGAGAACCATCGAACTGGAATAGTTGATATTTAGTAGCTGCTTTAAGCAAATCAATCAAGTCAGACTTGCTAATGTCTAACTTGTGTGTTCGATTGAACCATTTGTTGGTGAAAGCTTTATCGTCCAGAATATTGTTGGTCTCATCTAGGGGAACGTTAGTGAATAGAGAACAAACATCGTATGAAACGAGTACACTGCGTCTGCCGTCTGCCTAAACCACCTCTGATTAGTCAACAATCTGTTGTATATTTATTCAAATGTGGTCTGTGTGATGCAGACTATGTTGGCTATACACGTCGCCACTTATATCAGAGAATAAACGAACACCGCTATTCAAGCATCGGCAATCACTATAAATCCATCCACGGAATTGCAGAGATACCAACATTGAGCGCTAATTTTAACATTCTAAAAAAGTGCTCCAGTAAACAGACTGTCTCATTTACGAGATGCTCTTCATTCAAAAGATCAAGCCATCCCTTAACGTCCAATCAGACTCCGCTAAGGCCAAAATATTCACCTAAGACTATCCACACGGGACTTTGCTCAATCTTATAATTTATTGTTTTTGAATATATTAATGTATTTCCTCTTGAGAATGACGCCAGATAGCCAATACCCCATTAAAAACGGTACAATTTTTGTCTTGACCAAGCTGATATTTTCCTCAAAAACATTACAATATGGTACAATACTCCAATAAAGTATAATAGAAACTTTAATTCGCGCTCATTTTATTTGAGAAGAATCACGTACGACTTCGCTTGTTTGATTTTGAAACTCAGGGGGCATTCAAATGTTACAGGTTCGATTTTCGACATTATGACGAGCAGCTGTCAGTCAAGATATATCGAATATATACTGAACGTGGATGTGGGCCTACGTTTGATCTGTAGATTTCATCTACACGTGGTTGAGGCTTGAAGCAATACTGAGTGAAGTAGAAATGATCATTTTCAGAGAGAAGTCACAAGTGCTTGTAAGCGAAAGAGTCAGGGCCGTTGGTATGTGCTTTTTCGATAAGAAAGATTTAACAGTAGGTAAAAAATACAGTTTGAAACGCCAGCCACAAAACTGTAAAGACCAGAATTGTATCAAAGTTGGAGAAAATGTGAGATCAAAGGCAGTTCTTAACAGCAACACTGCAGCTTTGTTGTCCCCTTTAATTGAAAATCATTCATGCCGAATGGTAAGAGACTCGTCATATATTATTCGGGTTCGTTTTTGAAAGTAATGTGCAATGTCTATAATATTTTATAATATTTTATAGTATTTTTATTGTATTGTTTATCGTATATGTCAAAACTGACATGTTCTGCAACTTACTTTGGTCGAGGATTTAACTAGTGTAATTTCATATATATAGGTATAGAGATGAATGTGAAAGGAATTTGTACCAGGTCAGTTATATGTTGCCTTTTCTTGCGCGTCTTCCATGCGAGGATTGTTTATTGTGAATTTCAACAAGTTGATAAGGATCTTCAAGCAAAGTAGAGAAATTGTATGCCAATTGTCATGATGATGTGTATGTGCTTTACCCATAAGGCACTTTGTCTGGATGAAATAAATGGACAATTACTTGGAATGGAGCAGTGCACAGATGATCAGGAATTGGAAGAAATTGATAAGATTTGCAACTCATATTTTTCTGATGATCAAAGTGAGCAGCAGAATATGATAAGTCTGGACACTGTATTAAATGACATTATTTCAAAATTGCCAAAATTAAATGAAGTATCTCCACATGCCTTGCTGTATCAATTGAAAGAAATGGTAAAGAATACATCAACAACATTAACTGCAAAGATTCTAGATGTCATTGACTTACTTGAGCACAAAGATTATTTGCCAAATCTCAAAGCATTTCCATTTATCCAACAGAATCGATTGTAAAAAGTGGTACAAGAAAAGTCAAAGAAGAAGAAAAAGGATAACACAGTGAAGTTTGACTTGAAAATGCTTCTGACATTCGACTTCTCGATATGTAGCCATGGTGATCCCATGAAAGAACTTGCTGCTATGATGTGTATTCCTGAAAAAGAACTAGCTGTGGAGCACTTCTGGGTAATGACAGAACTTATTAAGGCAGTCAGATCAGACATCATTGGCCAAATGTACAATTTAAAGTTTGAAAGTGAGGCTGCATCAACCCAAAACAATAATGTCTGGGATATGAGCAAAAAGGGGCAAGGCAAAGTAAGGTACGTGGGAGGCTAGGCAATTATTAAACTGATTTATTCTTAAAAAAAATACGTAACTACTGTAATGTGTTTGTGAAAATCTTAGGCGATCAAAACGTGTAAACGTGTTTTATTACATCTACCCAAAAGACCTTGCAGTCCATATAAACACGAATCCCATACATAGAAGTTGTGAAGAGTGAAGCGTTGACTTGGCTTTGTTCCAAGATTTTTCATGTGCTTCACTCCAGTTCCATTGTGTGTCTTTGACTAACAGCTGATGTAAAGGAGATGATGTTAGGTATGTAACAAGCGTAATAGTTAAGCATGCCTAAAAAGGCTTATAGTTCTTTCAGATTAGTAGGTCTCGGTGACTCTTGAATTGTTTTGATTTTTTCGTCAAGGGGGTGGATACCATCTTTGTCTATGCAGTGTCCCAGGTAAGTGACTTCAGGTGCTTGAAAAATGAACTTTGAACGTTTAAGATGGACGCCAGCTTTGTCCAGACGTTACAGGTCTTCTGTTAGACTTTTGACATGATCTGCTGATGTCTTCCCGGCAACGAGAATATCATCTATTCGTACTGGGGGTTGCCCATTCCGAAATTTGAACTGGACGAATTGTTCCTTTTTCTAGAAAACGGTCCAATTCTCTCTCCACCTTCTGACGTCGTGCATATTCTAACGTGCGAGTTTTGAGGTGCTTGGTTTGGAAACATCGTATCAACAAGAAGCAAATCTAGGTCTTCATCGTCGCTGCAATAGGAACTGGAGTCGCTGTCTTCATAGAGCATGACCTCGACAATATCTTGAAATTCCTTTCTGAAAAAGATTTTGACAATGAATCTTCCAAAAACAATCATTTTTTTTTTGGAAATCCCTCGCGAAAAGGGAACCTTACCTCGCTGCAGCCGCCATTTTGTGCAGAGTGTATCCCAGGATTCCAAAGTTTCGACACGTAGAAACTTGACGTAGGAACCGCTGGGCTAAATCGCAAAAATGCTTGTACCTCAAACGCCAAACGTCAAACCGCGGTTAGCGGGTCGCGTAAAAGAATAAAACCTGAGGATAAATGTCTCTTTTGTGATGGGATCAGTCCTGAGCGAAGGCATTCACGCCGCTTGAACCGTGCTGAAAGAATTTAGTGCTAAATAATGGTAACTTAGTACTGTAATGACACGTGAACCAAGGGAGCACGGCAAAATGTTGTTTATGACCTTTTTAATCCGTTAATACGTCTTTCGCTATATATTATACAGCCATTTTGTTTTGTAATATGGTTTTCCGCTGACCCTAAGGAATGCTGGCGAGCCCCGAAGGGGCGAGCCGATTTCCGATCGAGCCCCGAAGGGGCGAGAAGTACCGAGCCCTGAAGGGGCGAGAAGTACCGAGCCCCGAAGGGGCGAGCTAAATAATCCCGGGGAGTGAAACCGTTGAGATGCACCAATCACAATTGAGATTTTGGGGGTGTGTCTTCTCCCGATGCTAGTAGCAGTTTCCTTAGAAACAGTTCGACTGCAGATCCAGGCCAAATGCCGGGAGGTTACATTTTCGCGCATTTTATCACAGATTCAGAAACAAGAAATGCTTAGTTCAAGTCAGAGAAAAGTGGAAAATTTAGTATTAGATGGTTACAGTGTTTTTATTTCTGGAGAAGCTGGTAGTGGAAAATCCTTTTTCCTTCGGTCAACGATAAAGAAGCTCAAAGAAGCTTTTGGATTCAGCCGTGTAGCTGTAGCTGCTCCTACAGGAATTGCCGCCGTGAATGTAGGTGGCACAACGATCCATTCCTTTGCRGGAATTGGGACTGGCTCTAAGGGAGCTCACGAATTAATTTCAAGGATCCAGGCCAATCCTGACGTTGTAACGAGATGGAGGAACTGCTCTGTGTTGGTTATCGACGAAATATCAATGCTCAGTCGAGAATTATTTGAAAAGCTCGAGCTGATCGCACGAAGTCTCAACGACAATACCAAGCCCTTCGGTGGCATTCAGTTGATTTTCTCTGGAGATTTTTACCAGCTAAAGCCTGTCGTAACTGACGAAGGCGAGACAAGTGAAGAAGACATTTACTGCTTTGCTAGCCCCTTGTGGAACGATTGCATAGATTCGTCTTTATTTTTCAGTGAAAATTACAGACAAGAAGAAGTCGAACTGAAACTGCTTCTTCACGACCTTCGAAAATGCGAGTTGTCTCYGTTCTCTCGCCATTTCATTAAATATCTGTCCAGACCTCTACGTTGCGATCCCCTTGAAATAGTGCGTCTCTATTCTCACAGAGATGATGTT